GCTGTAGAGGGCAGTATCACTGGCCCTCATATGTGGGATCCGAACCGGGGCCCTCTGGCGTCCCAAGCCAGTTCTTAACCATCGCGCCACTCGGCTGGCCCTACCACCTGTTCAGTTTTGCTGCACTATCTTTGCAGTAATACCTTAGGTGCCAATGTACTATGTGGTTTCTGCAAAAGCCAAGTGTTTTCCCTTAAGTATAATTATCCCACGGGGCCACCATTTCCCATTTTAACTTCTTAGGCTTAAAATGACAAGCTCAAAATGTATCCCCCTCTCCTAATATCCAGCTATATTAGTCTCCCATGAAAAGCCAAAGAATTCATGATGAAAGAAGACGCCAAAAGAAAAACTACCTACTCAACTCTAAAAGGCATTTCAGGGCCAACTGAGTGGCTCAGTTGGTTAAGAGCTTGCTCAAGAATGGGAGCTCTGAACAACAGGGTCGCCGGTTGGATTCCCACATGAGCCAGTGAGCTGTGCCTAAGCTGAGCTGCCACTGAGCTGCCAACAGGTAGCAGGATGGCTCAGCTGGTAAGAGCACATGCTCCTAACAAGACTGCCTGTTCAAGATGGTGGCTACGCCCACCCACAACTAATTAAAAACAGCACCTTTAGCTGAGCGGCACAACTGGACTTGGAGCTGAGCTAGCTGTGCCCTCCACAACTAAGATTGAAGGACTACAACTTGGCTGTTCCCCTTCCCCAATTCCCCAACACTGTTGCCCTCCCCCAATTCACCAAAATCTTTAAAAAATAAAAAATAAAATAAATAAAATAAATAAAAGGCAGTTCAACAAAGTCATGGAGATGAAAACAGAGAGACCATTTAATAATCTCTCTCCATAGGACCAAATATAATTTTAGGAGCAACCCATTTTATAAAGCTGGGTAACTAAGACTCAGCAATGGGATATATCTTATTTTCCTATGTGGGTACTTGGTCCAAAGACCCAGCATTCCCCTAATGCTGATTCATTTTTCTCTTGCTGGGGGAAAAGCCCAGAATAATACAGGCCACTGTTTTTTATTTTAACATTCTCCTTTAACTTAAGCTGTTGGTACGTCTTCCTGTGACAGGATTTCAGGAAAATGCCTGCTTCTTTGCATTTTCTGGTTTATTTCATTTCATGCCAGATATCTGACATTATTCAGACACTTGTTTTGTTATTTAAAATGGGGTAGTAGCATGCCAAAGTATTTTCCCACAAGTCAGCAGAAAGAATTAATAGCTTTACTCAAGGGATGTTAAATAGCAGAGTACCTCACTGCTATAAGAATTTATTACTTTTTGACTGTTTTTTTGTGGGGTTTTTTTTAACTTAACAGGGTGCTAAATATAAGAGCTCTACACATTTGACTCACATCACCAGCAGGACTGGCCTATTTGTGGAAACCAGAGGACTTATAAGATGAACCCTCTCACACTCGGAGCTTAGACTTCCTTCTTCTAGAACATGTAACTGAAAGGGGGTAAAAATCATGAGAGAATTTCAAACCAGTTCTGCCCAGAGATTGACAGCAGCTTCACCAGTCTTCAAAGAACTCTTGACAGATTCTGGCTGCAATCGCTGGCATAGAGGAGTAATCATATTCCCCAAAAAGAAACTGTGTTTCTGTTACTCCCCACCTCCCATTTTCCAAACAAACATTTCCCCCAAAATAAAAGGGACTTACCCTACTATTACTATAACAAAATCCAGTAAATTCCATCCATTCCTAACATAAGCATTAGGATGCAGCAATAATCCATACGCTATAATCTTCAAAAATGTCTCGATTGTAAAAATAATCAGGAAGGCATATTCTACTTTTTCCTGTGGGAAAAAAAAAACCAAAGAGACAAAGAAAAAGGGTAGGAGGGGAAGAAGAAGAAAAGATAAAGAAACAGGGATTAGAAGCTACATCTCATATCCAAACATTTTTCTCCAAGCAAAGTTGTATTATGAGAAATGGGACAATTAACACTGCACCTGGGCCAGGAAGGCGTTTTAATTCTAACACTGAATTTCTCATAAGCAACTAAGTGTAAAACACTTCTCATTCTGGACTGCATGATTGCATTTTGCCACCTGCCCTGATGCATGTGCAATGAGTCTGCCTAGGACATAACGGGCATGTTTGTTATTTGCACACATTTGCAAAACGCAGCATGTTTTCCTCCTGAGATTGCCAAATCAGGCCCAGAAAAGCACGAGTGTGCAATAAAGCTTCTAACCGCGGCTTTGAACAGAATGTCCTCTGGAAGAAAGGAAGATGTGTCTGCTTTGACCCTCTCTTGCTCTTGGGTTTACGTGTGACTTCTAAGTGAGGGGCAGCTTTGTCACTGGAGCAGCACAGTGACCTTGGCAAGCCCCTCCTCTCCTCTGGACCTGTGTTTTCTCATCCACACAGTAAGGGGAGGAGAGGGGGTGAATTCAGGATAGTAAACCCATTGCCTGCTCACTGGCATACCACCTCTCCCGGATGACACCGCTGAGTGGTCACCATGCACATTCCCAGGAAGCCTGGGCTCAGACTTCAAACCATCTCTTCTACCAGCCCCAGCAGTCATTCTCAGCTGATTGCCACAGACCTCCAAGACTTCGCCCTTAGGCTAGATGACTTTTGGAACTTTTCCAGTTGCAACTCACACAACTCCATGAGTATAGAAAACACATCAGCAGGTTTAACATTTTTGAGCATTTTCTCTCTTTTTTTGATTCTTTCCTCTTTGATCAAGGTTTTCTTTATACAGCTTCAGTTTTAATAGAAATATGGACCAATTGGGATGTGTATGATTAGTTTTACAGAGGCATTCCCTGGCAAGAAGCTACTTAAATAATAACAAAATGAAAAATCATCAGTAATTAAACTCGTCCATAGAGGGTCATAAAGTTCTCTACTAATATTAATTCTACTCTGTGGGACCTGAGGAAAGTTACCAATATTAGGGAAATGGAAGTCATGGAATTCACTTACTAAGATGCCTAGTGCAAGAGGTCACATAAATGTGGCCCAGGAAACACTCAGGAAGCACCTCTTCTGCGTGACAGGCCCCATACCAGGAACCAGGATTAGAAAAATGGTCCACTATGGTCCCTAGCCTCGAAAGTTTACTCTGGTAGGGGAGGGTGTGCGTTTCCAACATGCACACAGAGAAAGTCCCAAGAGAGGTAAGTGACAAAGAACAAGTCTGCCTCTTTGGCCCTCTGATAACGCCAAAAGGTTCATCCACTTCTCCCCTGCAAGGACTTTGCTTTGTTACATGTGACTGCTAGCTTCCCTAAGCCACCCTCGGCTCAGGCCATCTGCCACCAGAGTGCTACCCCTCTATCGTTGGCCAATTCCAGTCCCCAGCTGAACTTGAGCACGTCTTACCACTGCGTCTTTCCTTTTACCACTAGGGGACCGATCCAACCACGGCTGTACTCTAGCTCTCACCCCCATTCTCCACTCCTCACTGGTCATGCCAGAACGCCAGTTTATCAGTTCTTCCTTCCTGGGTTCCTGTCATTTCTAACCTGCCCTCCAGAGCACTCTCTGATCTCAGCACACCATTACAGTAGTCTAATAAATTCTTTTGTGGTATAAGTTAGCCAGAGTCAGCGTGTTTTCAATTTTAAAAGCCTATCTCGATATGCACCTCTATGTTCACTGCAGCCTTATTTACAATAGAAGCAACCTAGATGTCCATCAACAGGTGAACGGATAAAGTAGAGGTGGTACATGTATACAGTGGAATACTTCTCAGCAACAAAAAAGATAAAATGTTGCCATTTGCAACAACATGGATGGGCATAGAGAGTATTATGCTAAATGAAATAAATCAAACAGAGAAAGCCAAATACCCTATGATTTCACTTATACGTGGAATCTAAAAAAAAAAACAAAACTAAAAAGAATAAAACAAAACAAAAATAGAGTCACAGAATCAGAGAACAAACTGATGGTTGCCAGAGGGGAGGGGGATAGAGGTATGGGTGGAAAAGGTGAAGAGGACTAAGAGATACAAACTTCCAGTTATAAACTCAATAAGCCATGGGGATATAATATACAATGAAGGGAATATAGTCAATAATATCACAATCATTTTTCACAGTAACAGATAGTTACCAGACTTATGGTGATCACATTGTAAGGTATATACACATAAATGTCAAATCACAATGCTGCACACCTGGAACTAATATAATATTATATGGTCAATTATACTTTAATAAAAGATAATTTTTAAGCCTAGCTCCTTCCTAACCTCTATACCCAGGCTTCCTCCAGACCTCCCAACAAAAAGGTGCTTTCCTAGGGCCAGCCCATCCTGTGCACCCTAACCTCTCTGCCAGGCTGCAAAGACCTTGCTGGACCACACCCTCACCCTCTCCCACACAGCTGAGTACTCCAGGCTGGGGTGAGCAGGCTTGTAAAATGCTCCCAGAGCAGCGGCATGCATGACACCTTCCTGCCACACACAGACCTCCGATGGCTCTGATTACTCTCCCTGTCACCTCACACAAGCAAGGGCTCCTCTTCCTATTCACTTCCACGTCCCCGAGCGTGGTGCTCCCATGAGAGGTGCATTGACACTACTGCATAAGATCTGAGGAACAGGGACCGACTTTGCTACGGGGTAGGGAGGAGACATCCAGGAGGGCGGGCTTCCATGAGGCAGCGACTTTAACTTGGAGAGCTAAAAGGAAGAGCAATTCTGTTGCTTTAAGCACAAGCAAAAAATCCCTGAAAATACTAATCCACTGTACTGCAATTAGACCCTGACCACCAAATGCAGATCGTCGGTATGTTTTGGAGACTTATAGTTCTAAGGGAACAAGATAAGCTACTAACAGCATGCTGATTTTACAATTCCGCTTCCCTTTTTATCCTTTTTGCTTTATTTACTAGGCCAGATTGGGGGCGGGGGTGGGGGGGAAGGCTTTTGCTGCCATCAATATTCATAGCAGTTACATCCCGATGTCAACACAGCACTATACTTTAGAGCAGAAAAACAAGGCAAGGAACAGGGAGTACACCTACCAAACACAACTTGTTTTTCCTCTTTGGCTTTTATTTTTAATACAAGGGCCATTAGGATAACTGAATTGTTTAGGGTTCTTTCATCCCCTTCTCTTGTCCTCCTCTCTCCTTTTTAAAGAATTTGGTTTCTCTTTCCAAAATCCTTAGTGCATTACTTGATGGAATTGATTATAAGAAATGCAACCTGGCTTTAATGAGATTCTTTATTACAGAGGCTCTACCATAATGCCAGCTGAACAATCACGGCCTGGAGAGCATGACAGACCAGTTTGCCTAGAAGCCAGTGGTCACTCTGGTCCCCAATCCTGCTGTTAAAAAGAACGTCTCTAAAACAAATATACCTCCATATTAAGCAAATGTAGTGTAAAAAAAAAAAATCTTGCAAAGCAACAATGATGGGAAGGGAGGGGTAATTATTTACTTCACAAGAGAATTGCTCAGTTGAGAAAAAGTATGTTGACTTTGTAATTCGAAAAGGAAGCCACCAAACTGGGCAAGGTGGGAATGGGCGCCCAATTGAAGGAACCTGTGAGATGTCACACAGAGAAGATATGGAGTCTATAGCCAGGATGGAGCAGAGCACAGAGGAAGACAAACAGCAGGGATGAAGCAATGGGAAGGCTGAAAATAAGCAAGCAAGAACTCTCCAGAGCTGGGCGTGAGACGAGGTGTCCCCCGGGCAGGGGCTGCACTTTCAAGCCCTACCCCAGTCTGAACAAAAGGAGTAAATGGTTCCTGTACCCCAATATCCCTGCATTTTCCAGGCAGCGTCATGTGTGCTTGTGCCCTCACAAAGCCACCAGCAGGGCTTTCTCTCACCTGGGTGGGCAGGGTGGGTTAAACCTCCCATTAAGAAACCACCAATGATATGAATGGAAGTCTGACATGATACCTCAAGCCACCAGAGAAATAAAGGCTCGAAATCTAATTCTGAAATCTGACTTATCTTTTTTTTTAAACAGTGAAGTTTCACCAAACAGAAGAGGCTCTAAACCAGTTAACTCTACACAGAACCTTTAGGAAGAAATACAAACTCCAACTAGTAGGGAGTGGAAGATGCCAGGATCCTTACACCTGGCTGTACTTGTACTTGGTTGTCGGCTCTCCTGTTCTCAGGGACCCTTTTACTAGCACTTTGGGACGAACATCCAGCCATCCATCCCTGCGCGCCTGGGTCCTCCTCAGAAACCCTGATCCCTCACAGAACTCCCATCTTGCTCTCTAAAGGTCACCAAAGGCTTGATGAGCCAAGTATGATTCACCTCTATGCTTTGCTCATCCACGCACACAGCCCAAGTCTTTGCACTGTTCTGGCTTACGTCCTGGCTTACACCCTGGCAGTAGCTGTTCCCTCCCATACATACACACACGCTTCTGTGTCCTGCAGGCCTAGGCTCCCCATTGGCAGGGCTCATCTCTTACTGTATTTGTAACCTCAGCATCTAGCACCATATTGGACATACATACAGGTGCTAACAGGAAGTAGGAAAGAAGAAAGGGGGAAGGAATAAAGCAATAAAGCTAGACTTAAAGGGGGGGGCGCTATAGAAGCATGAGGTTTTGTGATCTTAGCATATGTATCAAAAAGCAAAACAACTAGGGAGGAATCTAAGTTACCATAAATCCTTTCTAGGAGGAGCCTGGAATAAATGGTCAGACTGCTGAGATAATAGCTGATTTCGACTTCTCACCTGACCCTCCCTTTCAATCCTGACCTGAGCCCCCTCGGTGAGGCCCTCATCCCTTCGGATTCTCTAGCTTCCTCTTCCAACTTCCTCACTTCTCTCCAGGAGAGCCTCCACCTCAA